TATATATATATATATATATATATATATATATATATATATATATATATATATAGACACACACACACATGTTACTAAAATTACTCTCACTGTCCCCTTTGAACTTTCCTAGTTTGACTTTCAAAGAAAACTTTTTAGAAATTTAACTACAAATTATTAAAAATTACCAATTAGTTTCCTACATTGAATTTTGATAAAAATTTAATATCTATTAGTTTAGTTTTAAAATGTAGTATTAAAATATTATATTTTCATAACACACATCTATTTATAAATAAAGATATTGATGGATAAAATATTATACTGAAGACCGTGAAAAATCAATTGAGAAATTCAAAAAAGAATCTATCCATCATATTCTACTTTTAACCATCACATCAAAGGTATTTTTGGAAAGTCAACATAAAATATTACTCCATTAATTATCTTTAAAGTCAAAATGGAAAGAGCCTAAAGGGACAGAGGAAGTACTCGGTAAATTTATTTTTAAATTTTACACCTGCAATCAAATAAATTGAAATTAAAATAAAATCGTTCATATTTCATAACACGTAATGGGAAGATATATGGCGGAAGTGGGGAGTATAATGTAGTCAATATAGGACTCAAGAAAATTATAATTACATGTCACCCGTCGATTTGAACACTTCACCAGAGCAGCCCCAGGGGTGGCACTTACCCCACCAGCCCCCCCCCCCTCCCCCAGCCCCTCCCTCCTCCCGCCTCCGCTCTGCTTAATTATATCACTTTGCTGCTTTTAGTCACGCAGCTTTAATTAATTTGTTGGTGCTGTAGTTATTTTTAGGAGTGGCAGGTGTGTAATTTTGGAAGGTGCGTTGTTATCATCTGTGAGCTTCTCAAAAACCATTATTATGGATCAGATCTATATATGAACATTGCATGGCCATGTACGTCTAATTCAAGACAGCAAGAGTGAAAGGGATTCTTTGAGGTGATGACCTCATCATCATCATCCTAGCTAGCCCCCACTGGAGGGTTGTCATCAATCTCATGCAAATAAATTCCACAGGTGTTGGTTTATTCCTTTGGCATTTGCAGAGGTAATAAGGAATACTCATACGTATACAATATACTCCCTCCGTCCTAAAATTAACTTCCCAGTTTGACTTTTGTAGTCAAATTTTTAAAACTTTGGCCGTATATTACGGAAAAAATATATTGAATTTTCATATATACATACATACATACATATATACATACATACATACATACATACATACATACATACATACATACATACATACATACATACATACATACATATATATATATATATATATATATATATATATATCTGTGTGTGTAGGTGTGTATGTCGCCTAGGTGTGTGCTTAGTCACCTAGTCGATATGAAGGTACATTGGCGCCTCACCTCGCTTTGCCGCCTTACAAACTATGGACTGGTCATGGATCCACTCTAAATGGTGGCAGCCAACTCAATACCTCACCAAAGCACACCGAAGGCCAGGCCTGCAATTGTACAGAATGAGTATGAATCTGTTAGCCCACTAGAGAATTGTTCGTTGTCTAGCCCAAACTCATATACTTCAGTTCCAAGCACTATTATTAACCTACTAAATGTTCCAAACAGTCCGCACGAGTTTGAAAATCTTAGTACATCAGGTGCAAGTCCTATTTCAACTTCACATTATGATGATACACCCCCTCGAGGATTTCGCCACCTAAATGATGTGTATTCAAGAAATCAATCGATACAAGAGAAGGCTTTCAATGCACCTAACTTTGAAGATGCATAACTATTGCTATTTAATGGTGAACCAAGTACCTTCAAAGAAGCCAAATATAGCAAAGAATGGAGTGCTGCAATGCAAGACGAATTGGATTCTATTGAACAAAATGGAACCTAGAAATTTGTTGAACTCCGAAAAGGAGTTGAACTGATTGGTCTGAAGTGGGTTTATTAATCCAAAACTGATTGCAAAATTTCCTATGGATCCAAGTCTCAAGCTTGGAAAAGATGAGGAGCTGGCGTCTGTTGATGCAACTGCGTACCTAAGGATTATTGGGTGTCTTCGATATCTAACTCATACACGGCCATATATGAGTTATACAATTGGAATAACCAGTCGATTCATGGAGTCACCAAAAATATCACATATGCACGCTGTAAAACAGGTACTGTGATATTTGAAGGGTACAATCAATTACGGGATTCGATACACGAAGAATGGCGATGCAAGTTTGGTTGATTATAGTGACAGCTCACATGCGACTGATAGGGCAGATGGAAAGAGTACAACTGGGATGATTTTCTATTATGGGGGTGGTCCGATAGCTTGGAGTAGCCAAAAATAGAATAGGTTGCACTATCTTCATGTGAGGTTGAGTTCATGGCAACAACGGAAACAGCATGTCAAGTTGTCTTGTTAAAAGGTTTGCTTGAATAAATCACTGGTCAAAGCATGGAACCCATAACAATTCACGTGGATAACAAGGCTGCAATCATGTTAATGAAGAATCCAGTGTTCCATGGAAGAAGTAAGCATATTGACACTCGATATCATTTCATTCGTAAATGTGTCGAGAAAGAGCTATTAAGGATTGAGCATGTAAGGGGTGATGAGCAGAAAGCTGATATCTTGACTAAAGCATTACCGAGGGTCAAGTTTATCAAGATGAGGCAACTCATGGGCATTGAAGATTTGGCAGGAATGAGGACTAGAATCAAAGGGGTGAATGTTGGTTAATTCTAGTCCAGAATTTAGTTTAAATTTTAAAAATAAAAAGAAAAAAGGCAGGCAGTTAGGCAGTTTTTATGACAGTTTCCAACAGATGTGTTGGTTAGTAACTGTTGTGTCTATTTGTAATGGTTGTGTTGTTTAGTCCTCTATTTAAATGTATGGACACATAGCTCTGGACAGCAGTTCCATAATAAAAAAACACGCTGTTTATATACTCTAAAGATATTGTTTTCTCTCAAAAAGCTCCAAAATGATAAGAATTAAACAGTTCTCATAGAGCATGTCTGGTCTAATATTTTCTGTGACATCTTATGTTAGATCCTTTACAAGCGTTTATTATCTCTCTAAACTACAAACAATCCAATGGAAGCGTTTATTATCACTGAGGTTTCATCCTTACTGTTTTCTGTTTTTCAGTCACAACACAAATTTCTCTCTAATGAATTGCTATTGTTTGTACTTGTTGCTTGTACTTGGTGCCTTATCTGTGCTATACTGTGTTCTCTTCCATATTTTTGTGCAGGTGGAGCCGGGGGTCTCTTGGAAACAGCCTCCCTACTTCCGAGTAGGGGCAAGGTCTGCGTACACACACCCTCCCCAGACCCTACTATTGTGGGATGCAACTGGGTTGTTATTGTTGTTGTTGTTATTTCTTCTTTATATAGGTAACCACCAAGTTGTTGCAAGTTGGCATTTCACAATAAGATATAGGCATCATTACACCCTACAACTCCCAGGCAGATCTTATTAGGCAATTCATTTCAACATTAGTGTAGATGCATACAATTGACAAATATCAGGTTTACTTTGAATTTATGCTTGAGTTCATAAGTGCAGTGTCTCTTATTTCCCTTTTTAATAATTGTTTTTAGAACCATTGATGGGACTTGAATTGTGTTAATATATAATTGTTAGACTGTCATCCCATATAGGAAGTTCAAGAGCTAAATAATCGATATATAAGCTCTTGAGTTGAACTAACTAATCGATTGGATTCAATCTTTTAATGTGGTTCAGCCCAAGTGTCTTATTACCCAATCTTGTTGTCCACACCCATCCTAAATTCTATCAATAATAGTTTTTAGAAATTTTTTTTGACAACTAGTACGGGGACTTGAACTGATCAAAGCTTCTTGATTTAATAGGCTTCACTTTGTTTTCTATATTTGATTGAATTCTTTTTTAAGGGAAAATAAAATATCATGGTTGCTACTTGCTATCATGTTCTTGATGCTAAATACTGGATTTTCATCTTATCTCCATTGTAGGGAAGAGAGATTGCATTTTGGTGTCATTTGTTACGTCAAATGAAAACCCAAAGGGCTGTGCTTCTACATTACTTGAAGACTGGCTCCGGATCAATGCTGCTCGTACACGTGCAAACGTTACCTTTTTCGAGAATCTTTTTTTGGGTAGACTTTGTTTTTAGTCCTCCTGTTAACTTCTTAACTTTTGCAACAGAAAATACATCCCTCTGTCAATGCCCCTCTGTGGCAATTTTGTCCCCTAAGTTGCAGTAATTTAACCCCCCATTGTTACCAGATTATAGATGAACTACATCCCGCGTTAGGGGGTTCAACCAGTAACAGCTTCTGTAAAAGTTAACAATTGTTGACTGCAATTGTCAAAGTCTCATGATTCAGGGACTAAAGTAGAGCAATTTATCCATCCTTTCTCATGTTATGGGGAAACATTTGTAGAGAAGTTTCTCTTTGCCTGAAAAGTCCTTGCACAAATTGACATATGTTTTTGTTTTTTTCTTCTTTTGCAAATTAAACAGAAGCAGTTGATGTTATATATTTTAGTGAAATTGGAAAAATTATGACCAACGGTATCCTAATTAAAATCAAAGAAGTTTTGGTGGTGCGGAGTGCACGCTTCATTGAATTTGTTACGATAAAATCTTGTTTTAACGGGGGTTCCAAGGGGGCAGCGACCCCTTGGCGAGGGTTTGGGGGCAGCACCCCCGAGTAGGGTTCAAGGAGCGGCAACCCCTGTGGGTTCCAAGGGGCAGAGCTCCTCGATCGGGTCGAAATTTTTATTTTTCGAATTTTCTTTAAAAAGAGAAGAGTTAAGGAGAGCACCGATTTGTTCAAAAGGTTTTGCGCGAAGGATCGCACGTCTTAGATGAAAAGACGTGATTGCGTCTTTTCTTCTCCACCGCAATTCTATATATTCCCGGTAACCTTTTGTCGAAGTAGCGTTTGAAAATTCACAATAATCTCATACTTGTTCTTGTTACTTTCAAGTTTTCTCCGATTGAATTTTAGATTGAATGCTATATACGACTCTCGATTGATTCGCGTTATCATTATTATCCCCAACAGTTGATAATGGTGGGATATTGTGCTACATGCATGTTCTAAAGTGCCACTGCTTAGGCTACTGATTGAGAATGTGGAGAAACGAAATCGCATTTTAAATGTCACCAAATTAAAACTGATATTCATCAATATCAAGGTTGGATGAAGAGATGCTCCCAGAATCCCAGATCAAATCACAAAATGACGAGCTTTTTCTCTCCATACCCTCAAAATTTTGATTCATTTTCTTCATTTATGTTGGGAAAGCAAGAACACAAATGAATGTGTAGTTCCCAAGATCAACACCTTTCCCTCTTGAATGAATCTATGAGGAGCAACAAACAAATACACCAAAGAACACCAAGCAACAAGATAATCCAAACACGAAAATAAAACGATATGAGGCAAGAGATTTTAACGTGGAAAACCCTTTCAATGTGAAAGAGTAAAAAACCACGAGACCCTTCAGTCCAACCAACTCCACTACAACCAAATTGAGAGTACAAATGCACAATATAACAACACCACAATGATATCTAGCCCTTAAAAACACTACGAAGGCACTAGAATCAAAATAGAGGAACAAAAGTGCTAGAAATCACCAAAAAAACTGCAGCTGGTGCGAAGCTCATAACTTGAGATTGAACCGTTGAAATTCGATCTCCACTGTTCAGATTGAAGCTCCACGAGTCCTTAGACTCCTCCTAAAATTTCAGATCGATCGGACAAGATTTGGACCTCCGATCGACCAAAAAACCAGACCTGCTTTTTGAAGAAAAAGGCAGCGGATTCCTCTCCTCTTGCGGCTGTTTTTCTCCTTTTTTTTGTGCGTGAATGATTGTTTTCAACCAGCTATACCCTTCAACATAGACCCTTAATTTTCCATCAAAAGTGGACTAAAATTGGGCTTGAGTATTACACTCCAAATGGACTTTTAAAACACATAGTTGGGAGCCCAAGAAATCTCCCCCCTCCCGACTATGTGGAGGTGGTTGCCAAACCGGCAATCAAACAACAAGTTTCAAACTCCCCCTTTGGCAAAGCCTTAGTCATCATATCAGAACCATTATCTTCTGTGTGAATCTTTTCAAACTCCAATAACTTGAGATTAAGCACATCTCGAATCCAATGATAACGTATATCAATATGTTTAGATTTGCCATGGAAAGTAGGATTTTTGCTAAGATGTATAGCACTCTGACTGTCACAATATAAGACATACCTCTTCTGAATAACACCAAGTTCACGAAGATATTTCTTCATCCAAAGCAACTCTTTACAAGCTTCTGTAGCTGCAATGAACTCGGCCTCTGTTGTGGACAACGCAACACATTTCTGAAGTTTAGATTGCCATGAAACAGCTCCCCCTGCAAAGGTAACCAAATAACCAGATGTAGACTTCCTGGTATCAATATCTCCAGCCATATCAGAATCTGTGTAAACATCCAAAACAGATTTTCCAGTTCCAAAACAAAGTTTCAAACTGGATGTGCCTCAGAGATATCTCATAATCCACTTCACTGCATTCCAATGCTCCTTGTCTGGATTAGAAAGGAAGCGGCTAACTGTACCAACTGCATGCGCTAAATCCAGCCTTGTGCAAACCATAGCATACATCAAACTTCCTACTACAGATGCATAAGGAATACGTCGCATCTCTGCCTTCTCAGCATCATTAGATGGGGATTGTCTAGAGCTAAGCTTAAAGTGTGTAGCAAGAGGTGTGCTCACCACTTTAGCCTTTTCCATATGAAACCGTTGAAGCACCTTATCAATGTACTTCTCCTGAGACAACCATAGCTTTCTTGCCTTTCTGTCATGTGTAATATGCATGCCAAGAATCTGTTTTGCTCGTCCCAAGTCCTTCATCGCAAAGGACTTACTAAGCTCTGTTTTCAACTCTACAATTCTCGAAGAGTTATGACCAACAATAAGCATATCATCAAAATAAAGCAACAAAATAATGAAGTCATTATCAGAGAACTTCTGCACAAAAGCACAATAATCAGAAGTAGTCTTCTTATATCCTTGCTGGATCATCACAGACTCAAACTTATTGTACCATTGCCTTGGAGCTTGTTTCAAGCCATACAAGCTCTTGTTCAACTTGCAAACATAGTTCTCCTTGCCCTTCACCACAAAACCTTCTGGTTGCTCCATATAAATTTCCTTCCCCAAATCACCATGAAGGAATGCTGTTTTGACATCCATCTGTTCAACTTCCAAGTCAAGGCTGGCTGCAAGACCCAAAACAACTCGAATCGAAGACATCCTCACAACTAGAGAAAATATTTCCTCATAGTCAATACCATTTTTCTGACTGTAGCCTTTAACCACTAGTCTAGCCTTGTATCGTGGAGACGAGGCACCCTGTTCATTTTTCAACTTATAGATCCACCGATTCTTCAAAGCTTTTCTGTCTTTGGGCAACTTGACTAGCTCAAAAGTATGATTATCATGCAATGATTTCATTTCATCATTCATTGCCTCAACCCATTTATCCTTATCCTCGTTGTCCATAGCCTCTTCATAGCACTCAGGTTCTCCCCCGTCAGTAAGGAGCACATACTCATTAGTAGAATAACGAGTAGAGGGAATTATTTCCCTTTTAGACCTCCTGAGAGCAACTGTAGGTGCATTGTTATCAACATGAGGTTGATTATGTACCTCATTTGAATCATCTTCACCATTACCATTGGCAAAATCATGTGGAACATGATTGTTATCATCATTCTGATCTCCATTGGTAGCATTAGGCGTATGAGCCACGGGAGTTGGATTCAAATCAACAAGATCATCATAACTTTGAGACTCTGACTTCTCCATCTTCTGGATATCTTCAATATTCTGATCCTCCATAAAGATAACATCACGGCTTCTGACAAGCTTCTTCTCAACATGATCATAAAGTCTATAGCCAAATTCATCATAACCATAGCCAACAAAGATGCACTGCCTCGTCTTGACATCTAATTTGGATCTCTCGTCCTTTGGCACATGTACAAAAGCTTTACACCCAAAAACACGCAAATGGTCATAAGAAACATCTTTCTCGTACCAAACTTAGTCTGGAACATCTCCATGTAAAGCAGTAGCAGGTGATAAATTAATCACATGTGCAGTAGTATACAAAGCCTCACCCCAGAAAGATTTAGGCAAATGTGCTTCTGAAAGTAAACATCTGACTCTCTCCACCAATGTCCTATTCATCCTTTCTGCAAGGCCATTGAGCTGTGGAGTTTTGGGAGGCGTCTTCTGATGTCTGATGCCCTGTTGTCTACAATACTCATCAAACGGGCCAAGGTATTCACCACCATTGTCTGTGCGAATACACTTCAACTTCTTTCATGTTTCTCTCTCAACGGAAGCATGAAAGTGTTTAAAGACCCCAAGAACTTGGTCTTTAAACCTCAAGGCATACACCCATAGTTTCCTTGAGAAATCATCAATGAATGTCACAAAGTAACGTGCACCAACATGCGTCTTTGTCTTCATAGGACCACAAACATCTAAATGTACCAATTCAAGCAACTCTGATTTTCTGAAAGATGGATGACTTTTGAAGGACACTATGTTCTGTTTCCCAGCCAAGCAGTGACTGCACGTTTTTAAATTTGCATCCTTCACTCCTGACAAAACATTCTTCTTGGCTAAACAATTAAGTCCCTTCTCACTGATGTGACTGAGTCTTCTATGCCATAATTCTGAACAACTATCACTCTCAACTGCATTGATAGAATCAACAGAGACTGAAGCATTGGTCCAGGATAAACCTGAACACTTCTTCCCATGAGCCACAATAAGAGAACCCTTAGTGAGTTTGCATTGCCCATCACCAAAGGTACTCACATAACCTTCATCATCCAAGACACTAGTAGATATCAGATTCAAGCGAATATCTGGTGCATGTCGGACATTCTTCAACACTAACTTCATCCCAGTTTTGGTTTCCAGGACTACAACTCTAATGCCAACAACCTGTGAACGACCTTCATTACCCATCTTCAATACCCCATAATCACCTGGAGTATAAGATGTGAAGAAATCTTTCCTTGACGTCACATGGAAAGCGACACCACTATCGATAACCCAACTTGATTCATCAGAGGCAACATTAATCAAGTCATTATCAGAAACAACTATCAGATCACCCGAAGTCGTGGTAGAACATGACGATCATTTTCACCATCTTTCCCTTCTGGCTTATTCTTGTCTTTGTTCTTCAGCTTGAAGCAGTTTTTCATCAAGTGCCCCTTTTTATGACAATAATGGCACTCAACATTTTTGTATTTTGATCTGGACTTGCTCCTGCTCTTGCCCCTTTTGAATTCTCCATGATCTCTATCTTTTCTACTCCCCCTATTTTCAGTAACCAAGACATCGGATTTTGAAGTAGATGTCTCATGAGTTCTACGTCTCACTTCTTCATTCAGAACGGCAGCTTTGACATATTCCATAGTTACTGTACCACCGGGAGCAGAACAAATCAAAGACACACGAAGATTTTCCCAAGAATCAGGTAAAGTATTCAGCAACCAAAGCCCCAAAATCTCATCCTCGAACTTTACGCCCATGTCTAACAACTGATCAAAACACCCTTGAAATTCATTCAAGTGGTCAGAAATAGAAGAACCTTCCTTGAATCTCAGATTCATAGCTTGCCTAAGCAAGTATAGCTTGTTATTCCCTGTTTTTGATGCATACAAGGATTCAAGCTTGTCCCACAGAGTTCTAGCATGAGATTTATTGTAGATGTGATTCAGGACATTATCATCTACCCACTGACAAATGAAACCACAAACCATTTCATGTTCAAAAGTCCACCCTTCATCACTTTTTGACTCTGGCTTCTGAGTAGCAAACACGGGTAGATACAGCTTTTTCACAAAGAGTAAATACTTCATTTTACCCTTCCATTTGTGATAATTTGTGCCATTCAAACTGATCATCCTGCTGTAATTTGGCTCCATCATTCAATCAAGACAAATAACAGATTACTCCGGCGCTCTGATACCACTTGTTGGGAAAGCAAGAACACAAAGGAATGTGTAGTGCCCAAGATCAACACCTTTCCCTCTTGAATGAGTCTATGAGGAGCAACAAACAAACACACCAAAGAACACCAAGCAACAAGATAATCCAAACACGAAAATAAAACGATATGAGGCACGAGATTTTAACGTGGAAAACCCTTTCAATGTGAAAGAGTAAAAAACCACGAGACCCTTCAGTCCAACCAACTCCACTACCACCAAATTGAGAGTAAAAATGCACAACATAACAGCACCACAATTATATCTAGCCCTTAACAACACTACGAAGGCACTAGAATCAAAATAGAGGAACAAAAGTGCAAGAAATCACCAAAAAAACTGCAGCTGGTGCGAAGCTCATAACATGAGATTGAACCGTTGAAATTCGATCTCCACTTTTCAGATTGAAGCTCCACGAGTCCTTAGACTCCTCCTAAAATTTCAGCTCGATCATACAAGATTTGGACCTCTGATCGACCAAAAAACCAGACCTGCTTTTTGAAGAAAAAGGCAGCGGATTCCTCTCCTCTTGCGGCTGTTTTTCTCCTTTTTTGTGCGTGAATGATTGTTTTCAACCAGCTGTATGTTGAGTGTGAAGCCAGGAAGCTAGGTGGAAGCTAATAGGAAATTGGCAGGAAGCTACCTAGAAGCTTATGGCTTAATCATTGTCTCCCTAACTAATCTCTATTTAAGAGATGCTAATGTCTTGTAATTGTGGTGCAACAACAATGAAATAAAATCCTCCTAGTTTCCCCGTGTGGACGTAGGTTGCAGTTGGTGGCCGAACCACGTTAAATTCTGTGTCACTTATTTTTCTACAGTTGATTCGTGATTGTGTGTTGTTTCCGCGTGCGTTTATTCCCAACAAGTGGTATCGGAGCTTTGGTTCGTCAACACACCGGAAATCCGATCAGAAGAAACTAATCAGAGGAGTGTAACCTGGGTTCTTTGGAGAAGAACTGTGTGCAGCAGCAAGATCCAGAGTGAGGGCCGCTGCCGCCCGAGCACCACCATCCCCGTTGATCCACGGAGCGTTGTCGCGCTTGAATCGGGAGAGCCGCAGCAGGGGGTGAGTCACGGGAGACTCGCCGCTGCCGCCATCAGCCGTGCAACCGCTGGTCTGTCCAGCCGCCGCCGCTAGCCGCAAATAGGAGCAGCGGCAGAAGGAGCCTCCGTCCACGTGCAGTCAAGCCGCGTTGAGGAGCCGCCGCGAAGCCGCGCCGCTGCCGTCAGATCAAATCACCGCCGCTGGAAAACTGAACATGGCAGGAGCTAAAGAGATTCGCCGCTTGAATGGAGATCTGAAAGCTGCCGTCTTCGCGCAGTAGGCAAATCCGCAGCCATTGTCCAGCGAAAGTCACCATTGCCGAGCCGCCGGGAGCAACACCAACCAGATTGGGTAGGAGCAACAGGTTGTTGGGTATCGTCGCTGTCCGCAAGCAGCGCTGGAACAGCCGCCGTCCAATTGGTGCTGCCATGCAGATCCATCCGCCGAAAAAAAAAGAAGAGCCACCCGTGAAGATGAGTTGGTGGGGCCTCAATTTTTTTTAGAGTGGATTTGTTTGGCGTGGAGTTGATTTTGGCCCGTACTTTGGGGTGTATGATTGGAATTTGGAGATAGTGGTGGGCCAGGAGTAATTAATTAATCTTGGACGTGAGTGATTTTTTTTAGGGTGGTGCAAATTTGTGTCCTAGATATCTTATCTGATAAAAATATCAAGATCTGAAATTAGTTGTACCGGGTATCTCATCTTGTAATTGGAGATGGTAGAAGATGGGAAGTTCCGAATTGAGAAGTTCGATGGTACAGATTTCAGTTGGTGGAGAATGCAAATTGAAGATTTGCTGGTTCAGAAAGATTTGGACGTGGTATTGGGTGACAAGCTAGAAAAGATGTCAAATGCAGATTGGGCAGGTTTGGATCGAAAAGCAATGTCCGTGATCCGACTCTCGTTGACCAAGAATGTTGCGTTCAACATTCTGAAGGAGACGACAGCGAAAAGCATCATGGAAGCGCTGTCTAACATGTACGAGAAGCCATCTGCGGCAAACAAAGTGTTTCTGATTAGAGAATTGGTGAACACAAGGATGAAAAATGGCACTTCAATTACCGAGCATATCAACAAGTTGAATTCGATCTTAGCCAAACTTTTGTCGGTTGGCATTAAGTTCGATGATGAAGTTCAAGCTTTACTACTGTTATCGTCATTGCCTGACACTTGGTCCAGAACTGTTACAGCAGTTACCAGTTCAGCGGGACCTGACGGATTCACTTTTGAGAAGATCCGTGACCTCGTTCTTGGCGAAGATGTCAGAAGAAGGAGTTCTGGTGAGTCTTCGGAAGAATCACTAAATATCGTAAGAGGTAGAGGAAATAACAGAGGTAGTGGGAGCAAGAACATACGAAGGAGTCGATCGAAGACTCGGGATAGCTCAGGCATAACATGCTCGAAGTGCAAGGAGGTGGGGCATTTCAGGAATCAGTGCCCGAAAGAGGATATGCAAGTGAACATTGCTAGAGGCTCCGCGAGCGACGAGGATTTGTTTATCTGTTGTGCGGAGAGCAGTGTGGATTCCTGGGTCATGGATTCTGGTGCTTCATTTCATGCTACCCACAGCAGTGAAGCATTGCAGAATCGGGTTGTTGGGGACTTTTGAAAGGCACGGCTAGCGAACGACAGAGCTCTTGATGTGACGGGCATGGGTGACATAGTGCTGAAGACCCCTGTCGGTTTCTGGATTTTGAAGGATGTCAGAGTGGTTCCAGCCTTGAAGAAAAGTTTGATTTCTGTTAGGTAGTTGGACGAACACGGACACAAGGTGAAGTTCGGAAACAGGCAGTGGAAGGTCGTGAAGGGAAATCTTGTCTTGGCCCACGGAAGAAAGAGTGGGTCGCTGTACATGGTCGAGTTACCGTCTGAGGGAGTGACGGTCCCAATTCAGAAGAGAAACAAAGTCCGGTTCACAGAGTCCCGTGGGCAAAAGAAGGTTGTCTTTGCAAGAGAGAAACCTAGAGCCACAGGTCAGACTCAGGTTGGACGAGCAAGGAAAGGTTCAAGGAGGCCAGTGAGAGATATCTGTGGCAGTGGGAGCACAAGAGGTGCTTCAGCCAAGGTTCTTAGAAGACAATGAGCCCGGAGAACCAGTATTCCAGCTGTTGAAATGTCTCCAGAAGATTTCTTGCTAACTATGGAGATTGTTTGTTCTCAGATTGTTCCAGGATCCGGCAGTGCGTGTGTGCAGTGGGAGCCGGTAGGGACCGAGGATGAGTCAAGGGCAGTTCAAGCCATGACTGATGGGTTGAAACTTAGGAGATTTTCAACAGAGTCTTCTCGATGATCAAGAAGGCTGGTGGCAACTAGAGGTGGTGGAATTTTGAGTTCCCTTTTCAGAATACAGAAGTACATGTGCTTAATTGAAGCGCAGGTGAACAATGTTCCGTGGCTTCAAGTGTGAGATTGTTGAGTGTGAAGCCAGGAAGCTGGGTGGAAGCTAATAGGAAATTGGCAGGAAGCTACCTAGAATTTAAGAGCTAATAGGAAATTGGCAGGAAGCTAATAGGAAATTAGCAGGAAGCTAACTAATCTCTATTTTAGAGATGCTAATGTGCTTGTAATTGTGGTGCAACAACAATGAAATAAAATCCTCCTAGTTGCCCCGTGTGGACGGAGTTTGCAGTTGGCGGCCGAACCACGTTAAATCCTGTGTCGTTTATTTTTCTGCAGTTGATTCGTGATTGTGTGTTGTTTCCGCGTGCGTTTATTCCCAACACTGTACCCCTCAACTTAGACCCTTAGTTTGTCATCAAAAGTGGACTAAAATTGGGCTTGAGAATTACACTCCAAATGGACTTTTAAAACACATAGTTGGGAGCCCAAACCCAACAATTTATTATTTTTCTATTTCCCTGCATTTGGGGGGATTGTAAATACGTTTTTTTTTCTTAGATCTTGATCAATTTTGTAAGTGATGTGCATTCCTTTTGGGGTTACTAGGAGAAATTTTTTGTTTGGTTTTAAGGATATTATCCATCCAAAGTATTCCCCAAGTAAGGATTAACCGAGTTTTAATTTCCCTTTAATTATAACCTGTCAATGTACTCCTCATCAATATAAATAATACTTCATTCTCCCATTATAAACAATCCTAGAGTATTTTATTAAGACGAGGAATTTGTGGTTCATTTTTTTTTTCTTAAACATAAATTCAAGTAACGGACATTTGAAAATTCTTGTAAGATAGAGAGCGTATTACAACTATAACAACAATAACAATAAAATGGCGTACAAAATAAGCATTTAATTAAACATGGTGACTACTGGGAGATGGGATTGCCTTGGGCGTCCAAAATGGTGGCAGACGGTGGGCGACTGGTGGCCGGCAGATCAGCACCGCCATCGGGGGTGGCGGCGTAAGAGGAGGGTGGTGGTTTCTGTTCATCATGGCTATGGGATGACAGCTTGGCTTCATGGAGAGCAGCCTTATCAGCAGCTTTGGCCACATGAAAATCCATTTCTGCTTCTTTTTCTCTCGCCATTCTCACCTCGTGCGCCACTTCCACTCTTGCTTTTGCATATTCTTTCTCTGCCTGTTCCATTTATTTATTTTTTTTAAATAATAATTTGTAAGAGAGATCTATGTAAATATCTTATTCCTTCCGTCTCAAATTAAATTTAATGTTTACTATTCACAAGGTTAAACTTCATTCATTTTCTATATCTATTTTCGTTAGTCATTTGATAAAATAATATAATCTTGTCACTACTAGTTTGTAGATCTTTTGATCTAGTTTTAAAATATTTAATTTTTATTTTTTAATTCTACACAATTTTTCATATAAAATGATTTAAAAATAATTTTTGTCAAATATCGTAAATCGAAATAGATTATATATTTAAATTGGGAGAAAGGGAGTATATCAAAACAAGATTCTTTATATTTTTATCTGCTAAATATGAATGTTGTATAGTGAAATGTCACATTTTGTAAATGAAATCTATCTAAATAAACTATAATTTTAAACTTATATTAGAATATGGAGTTACATTTGAGGTATTTATCTCTTAAATATGGAAGTTGAATTGTGCAATGCTACAACTTGATATTGTATATTTTACAATGGGCTTTTTGCAACAATACACTAGAAATGTTTGTCTATTCCAAATAGGGTTGGACACGAATCCAGTTGGGAACCAGTATCGGAATTGTTAGAAAAGGTTCTGGTTCTGATTCTTAAATTTTGGTACCAAAACTGGAATTGGAACTGTTACGGAATCAGAAACGGTTTATTTTGTTGTTGTTTTTTTATGTTTTATGCTTAATTTGTTTGAGCTTAATTCACAATATCTATGATCAATACAAGAGTTTGGAGTCAATTATAGAAATTTCTTTTTACCAAAAAAATTATAAAAAATAAAAGATCGGAATTAGAACCAAGACTAGAATCGGAACCGCTTCGGAACAAGAACTGTATGAAACTGTCCCTACACGGTATTGGTTTTGGTTTTCCTAAAATGGGTACCGGAATTGCGGGTTCCGAAACTAAACCCGTACCTTGTCGGGCCCTAATTGCAAAGACAACTTAAATTTTGTATTAGCAAATAAGAAACGTATACCTTTTCTTCCTCCTTGGCGGCGGCCTTGGCCTTGCGAATGGCATTCATGTCGCTCAATTTTTCCTTGATGGCCTGCATTTTTCTTTATCTTTAACAATAATAATAGTAATACTTAATGTGGTTAATTAATTAGGTGCCTTTTGGATTAAGCTAATTAACAAAAGAGGAATGATGTATGTATGTATATATTAAGATTTGTATTGGGATAATGGGATATGCCATTTTGTTGTTATTAATGTAGCTTAGCTATCGCAATTCAATGGCTCCATTTTCACATCTCCTTCCGCTAACAGTGGCCGCCCCTCCTTCCCCCAACAACACCCATATTTTAAATGGTTAGAGGTTTTAAACATTGGCCACACATTATCAAAAAAGATTGAATTGTGATACACGGAGTACATAGTAAATTTAATATCAGTAAATTCATTTTGAAACGTAATTTTTAATTATCAAGTTTTTATAATTTATATTTATATATAAATAGAAATATCAATGATTAAAGCATTATATTTTAGAACGTGAAAAATCAAATAAGAATAAAGATATGGGATTGAAAGTGCATTAATTTTTGCTAGTAACAAATTTCGTACTCGGTATGATACTATAGTTCCCCTCCATAAAAAAATCATGTCTGATTTTCATGACATTTAAGAAAACTATTTAATAAAAAAATAAATTATTCAAAAAAAAGGAAAATGTGAATGTTTTATTTGCAAAACAGAGGTATAGTTTGATACTTGTCAGAATAAATGGGTAAACATCAACTTGAACTGTAACACCCTAATCCGTCCAGGTCTGCAGCCCCTTTCAGACTAAAGTATTAACTTGGTAATCGTAAAATTTAAAACTTTTCAAACACTTTGATTTATCACAATAATATTTTTTTTATAACATATACAGTACGGAGTATTCAACAATATTGCGGAAGCTTAACAAATCATAATCACAATCATAATTAAACCCATCACATCCATTCCGACAATCTCGCCTCCGTCTGCCTCCAGGATCACGTCACATCATTCTTTCTATTAACCTGCGTGTAGAAAATAAAACATACTACACGCTCAACAGTAAAGCTGAGTAAGCATATCTAATGTGTCGAACATCCATATAAACATAATCCCAATTCATAATCAAATCATTTGATATCATGCACATAATGTTTAGTTCAGATATTCAATAATCAATTTTCAATTTTCAACATTCATTATTCAATCATTCAACATGTATATTCGTCATTCATATTCAACATTTTTATTCAACATTCGTCATACAATATTCATCATTTGTCATTCAACAATATCCTTAAACCATTCTTAGTCTAAGGCCAATCTGTCTGATGTTTACCAACTCTTAAACGAATTCTAGTTTAATATAGATAAACTATATTCTAGTTTAAGGTACACTTAACTAACCCTTAAGCTAGGCCTAGTTTAAGATACAAGTTTTCAAAAAGAGGTTTTTAAAATCTTAAACTTATCTTCGCTTAAGGTCATCCAAAAACCGAACAACGGAATGCTCACTGTCGGGTTGGATGGTATCTCCAAACGAGTTCCTCTAGTTTGGTTTGTAGATCCCGTACGTACGTTTTAACCCAGGCCACCAAATATTCATAATTATACCCGCAAGGCCTATTTCTAAGCTATCTTAGAGGTCTTATAGATAGTCTTAGAAACCAACATCAACCTAGGTATATCTAAGAGTTCTTCTAGATATCCTTACAATCCAAATCATTTCATAATCATCAAAATATCCATTTCAACTCATAATTTAATCCTCAATAATCAGTGGTTCCATCAAGTCATAATCATCATAATAATCATTCACCATAATCATCAATCAACATAACATTCGATAGCAAATAGCGGCCTAGCTTTGAGTGTTAACACTCGAACTTACCGTCATGCATCACATAACATTTTTATTTGTCAAAAACATCATTTTTATTGTGGTAAATCATTTTTATAATGATCGTAATCAATTGGTATCAAAAATAGGATTTTAGAGCTCAAAAATAGCAATTTCGGGCAAATTTTTGGGTCAGAACTTTGGGGGATCGATCCAGCCCTCTGGATCAATCCAAACTATGAAAAATCACTCCCATGGGATCGATCCAAGCCCCTGGATCAATCCAGACAGTGGTGTTTCAGCCAATGTTCATCTTCTTTTTCGTTCGGGTCCAATTTCGGAAATATCGTTTTTAGTTATCGAACTTCAACGAAACTATATAGAGATGTTCTCCAAGGTTCATAGATCATTTTGGCATCATTAATTCATATTTTTAACATCAATTTCATGGTTTATGATTCTTGGTTCTTCAAGCATGTCAAACACAAAACTCAACCAAACGACTGTTTATGAACGTAGAAACGATTTATATGAACATTCTAGTCACTAGATATATCTACGGGCTTACCTCGAAGCTTAATGGAGGTTTTGACGATATTCTGGCAAAACTTCCAGTGAGGTTTGTGGCTAGCTCCGGCGACCTCTAACTCTCTGGACAGCACCACTCTACTCTCCACACTCTCAGGGACAAAATGGAAGAAGAAATAGAGAGAATGGTGAAGAAATGGAAGAATTGGGTTTTTTATATATAAGAGGAGAAGAGAAGAAGACAGGGAAGATGAGATGCTGCTGCGTAGGATTCCCTATTCACGTTCTCATTCGGCGGAGATGTGATTTTTAGGCGATTCTGCACGTTACTTCTCTCATTGGGACTAATTTGGTCCCAGTCGGGGTACACTTCTTGGTCCAACTTTCTCCGAATTGAAATCCGTTTGCACCGTTGCGATCGTACAATTAAACTCTATACAACGATATAATTTTTATATTTATTCGTTATACTTTTCGGACATCATATTTTTGGTGTTTGACTTTGACAGAGTCAAAATTGATTTGTTTGACCTTTACTAAAAATAATGCTCATACTAAATTCATATTATTTATTCTCATGATTTATTTCAATAAATCATTTCAAAGTTCATAAACAAATTTCTTCATTTATCCTTGATTTGGGTCTGTACTCAGGTTCCCAATTAAGGTCACACAATAAGTCAACATTTTAGATTTATCTCTATGAGACTTATCCTGATGGTAATATTGTATATATAAAACACATATTATTTTGGCCTAAAGCCCAGCAATAATTTATTTTAATCAAAACAAATTTGATTAATGGAATAATTATCTTATTAATAATTCTAAGGTATATTTTGGAGCGTTACATGAACTTTTTTTTAATTTGAACATCACGAGTTCAATGATTTATCCACAAAATTATACACCGAGGTGTGACGTCATATTAGAACGTCATTCCAAATTGAGGCCTCTATAGTAAGCACTCTAGCTCTTGATAAATCTCCACCCGGGCCAGACCCCAAGCCACCCTCCAATTGTACCTTCCAATGTACTCCCTCCGTCCCCCTGTATTTGTCCACTTTCATTTTTACACATCATTCAATACACTTCTTTTATCCATTTTATCTTGTAATTTGTATATTAAAAAATTATAAAAATTATATATTAATAATCTATATGTTAAGACAAATCAAACAAGATCACACATGACTATATTTAGGCTTACACATTGAGAGAATTTGATGAGTCAAAGTGCTTAGATGAATAGTTCCAAAAGTCAAATGTGGACAAATACAGGGGAACGGAGGGAGTAGAAGTTAACTTTAAGGTGATGAAATTAAATCCAAAAATGAACTAAATTTGAGGGGAGTGTCTTGGACTCATAATCTAGTACTACACTTTCATGTCATTTTTAACCGAGCAGACTAAATATACTCATTACACTTCAATCCTTCTCTTTCATTTTGTTGCTAAATTCAGATCAAAATGTGCCCTCAACCGAGCACTTTCCAACGAGTCTTAGTCCAAATTTTCTACAATGTCTATTTATTTTTTGTGTACATACTAAAACGACGTTGTTTTATTTTTAAACCCAACATTACTACTAGTATAAATAACGTAACGATTCTAGAGTTACTTGCTCCGATTGACATTACGGTGTCACTGTCTTTTTAAGACATCTATGGTGTTTCGTTCGTAAAATTAATATAATACTAACTCCCGAGAAAGCCTTCCAACCTAGTCTATCCGCCCAATCCTAACCCACCCTTCAACCATTTCAATTTCATCCCCCAAACTTATTTGATTTTAAGGTAATTTTTTTAACTCAAAATCAACTAAATTTTTAGATTAAAATTGAAGGCGGCTCGATCACTCGTCTCAAAGTGAAAGCTCTAGAATCCTCCGCAGAAATTATTATGTTGTATAAATAACTAGTATCACACCCGTGCGTTGCACGGGTCATTTTTATGTTATTAAATTCAGATCATTTTTCAATGATAAAAAATGAGATGCAATAGAATATAGAGATTATATTATTTGAAAGTACAAAACATCAATGTTTTACAAATTTCGAAAGACTTCTTTATAGACATCAATAAATTTGTATTACTATTAAATATATATATTTGCGTGTAATAATTATTTAAAATAAAGAAAATCAATCGACTATTAATATTATTAGGGTATTTATTAAATTATATCCGTACATAATTACTAATTCCAAATAAGAATGGAATCCAGTTTTTTCATAAATTAGGAAATTAGAAAATACGTCTAATTAATTTAGGTATTTAAATGGAAATTTGTATTTTTTTCCTTTTTGGTGTCTCGTGACTACTTGAATTGAATTTAAATATTTAAATTATGCCATTATTTACCTTCTGCAATACTAAATTATTAATAGCTCTTAAAGTTAATCTTATTCACAATTTATAAACTAACGTAATTTGCAAATAGTGAATAATTTAGGAAAGAAAATAAAATTAAAGCCCAATTCTCACTTCAACTCTTATCATTAATAAATTTACTTTTTATTACTCGGGTATTAAAACTAAATTAAAATTATTCAAAAAAATGAACACGTATTTCCATAAAAGCCAAAATTATTTCCTACATTATTAACTGTTTACTAATTTAATTAGTAAATCCCGTGTATACCCTTTAAATTATATATGATTCAATAATTTAAAAATACTGTTTGTGGAATACATGAAATAAGTCTATTACCATAGATGAATATGCAATATATTTAAGGTGAAAAGTAACTTAATTTTTTTCTAACTTAATATAGGAGCTAAATTAAATAAATTAATTTAGCTCCTATATTTCAACCGAATGAAAACATTGACGTGATTTCCCCATAACGTACAATTCAACCGAACACCACTACAAAAAAATTATAATTATTTTTAAATATAATATGTGTCGCAATTTTTTAGTAATTAGCTAACCATAAAATAATGTATCATGCAAATGAATTATTTAGTAATTTTTTCAAAGTATAATATTTTTTTTAATTAAAATGAACTTGGTTATTAAAAAGTCACTTACTTGTGGTTCTCCAAGGTAACTTCCATCATTTGCTCTGGGGCATTATTAATCATACGGGTTTCGGGCGCAGTTCGACTAACTACTTTCCCGATTATATCTGAAAATCCATAAAAATACAATTTTAAAAATTTCATAATCATAATACATAAAATGTATTTCATATGTGTAAGTATTTAAGTTATGTAAATGTAAATGACTCTTACCAACTAAAAAGACTTGGTCAGCAAACTTTGTTTTGAGTACATCTTCAAAACTCTTAAAGTAGAATCGAAAATTAGGAAATCTATTTTCTGTTAGTTTTTGAATCTTGGTCTTTCCCAAAAATTGGAGCATGTAAGGGTGATTGGTAGTTTTTGTGCCTTTGGAAATTGCGTAAAACCTTGACCCTCATGATTAAGTAAACCGCATTTTCTTCCAAAGCTTGTTTGAATGTGTTTATATCAGTATCTTTAATTTGAGCATGGATCCGATCGCCCTAACAACAAATAAAAAACGTTAATCTATAATTAAATTTATATTTTTTGTTTAAAGATCTATTATATGTAAAATATAAAACAATGTAGAACTAACATGTGAGTCGTGGAAAACAACATCCAACGATTCCGGCCCTCGAGAATGAGCAGCAACGTTACCTTTTTTATACACGTTTATATTAAATTATCATTCGTTACCATTTTAATTACACGGTTATATTAAATTACCATTTTTAGTTGAGCATTCGTTACCTTTTTTATACACGGTTTTTATACCTTTTTCATACCTTTTTTATACACGGTTATTTTAATGATCCATTAATTACCATTTAGTAATTACCATATGGAGTGAAAATTACCATATTTTCTACACCATGAAATGGGTGGGAAAAGAACAATGTAAATTCATGGCTTTTTAAATAATAGATAGATGAGTGGCATACATGCATCCAAGAAATCAACTAAATTTTAAGATTAAAATTGAAGGGGTCTCGAGCCACTCTCTATTAGCTTATTCGCGTATTATATACCCGTACGTATGATACACATATTTTACTCCTGAATATGAATTTTTAATGGAAAAACGTATAATACGCGTATTTTTGACCCCAAACGTATTACGAATTTTATACGTATTATATTGTAAAATCATTGGGGTCAAATTCAGATGAGATCAAATAAATTGATTGTCTTTCTGCAAAAATACAAATCGTTAAAATTTGGCGACTCAATTATTATAAAAGTACTATTAAAAGTCGGATCGTAGTTCAAGTCATCCACCAATATCTTTTATTAATAAAATGTCATCCACACTCTACCAGTCTCTCCGACTTCGTCCGGCTAAAAGTCTAACATTGCATATGCACTAGCGAATAGTAGACAACAATATTTTCTCTATTTGTTTAGATTTTGAAAATGTGATCCATTTTTTGTATTTAGTTCTTAATATTAAATATCTATCCACGCTTAAAAATACGAATTTAATTTTATTCGTATGATCTAAATTCAAAAAATCTAAGTTCGTAACTATATTTTTGTATTCTAAAAATAAAAAATATAGACTAAATTTAATTTTACTCAACTTTAAATTGTGTAAAACATTATTTAGTAAGTTCATATTTAAATTATAAAGAGACTTAAATCTTCCTTTTAAATTCATGATAAACATTTAATCAATTTTGTAAAACATAAATTGTCTAATAATATAATTTTTGTCATGTCTTAAATGCTTTATTCATATCTAAATGCTGGCTTCATTTTTCAGAATGTGTTCTTACTTTGAATACATTTTGTGGAAGTACAAAATAATAATTAGATTGAAATATCTCCTTTGGGTACACATGGAAAAAATGAATAAACAATAAATCGTAGTATTGGTTAAATTTTTAGAACTTTATGATGTATTTGTATTCAATTTCAAAGCTTAAAATGTGTTTTTATTAAAAATATATGCATTCATTATAAGCCGTATTTTTGAAAAAATCAAACGTATAATAGGTGAACATATCTGTATACGTATTCCGAACGTATAAAATGTATAATGAGACGTATTTTAAAAAAGTGATTCGTATTATATACGAACGTACGAATAGACGTATTATACCCGTATCCGAATAAAGTAATAGAGCAGCCACTCAAACTCGTTTCAAAGTGAAAGCTCGCCGCACAAATTATTACGGAGTAGTGTTGTCATAAATAATGAGTGACATACATGCATCCAAGAAAATCATTGGCATAGGTTTCAGTTTAGTTCAATTAATTACGGAGTACATGAGTAGATCCTTCAAAAATTATTGGACCATGCTACACTTACACCAACAAATATACCCCATTTGTACATCACAGGTTTGCACAAACATTTCGATGGTTTACACCGACACAGGTGTTGGTGCGTTAATAAAAATTCACACGGACACAAATGTTGGTGCGTTTAACAAAAATTAGTTTTACACCAACACAAAATGTTGGTGCAAAACTGCGGGGTACAAATTGGGGTACAAATCTTGGGGTACACATAGCATAATCCAAAATTATTTGAAAAAATTTCTCCAAAGTTTGACTGAAATTATTTTCACTTTAATTATTTAAAAATTGAGATAGAATTAAAAAATAAAAATTACTCCCTTTGTCACATTTTAAATTCTCTGTTTGTCTTTTTTCTCTGTCTCAAAATAAATTACTTGTTACTTGTTTTCGTAAACTTTCAAGAGTAAAATACATAAACTACTCCAAAAGTAAATCACTCTTTTTCACCTTATTTTCTCATTCATCGTCACCCTCCTAAAAAATAATGACAATTTTGGAATATCAACTCTGATGGGTGTATTTCACCCACGACCGGTCAAAGGTCAGGACCGGATAGTTTACCGGTCAAAGAGGTCAAACTTTGAAGAGAGATCTGAATGGACCACCGAGTGACCAAAAAGTGGACCGGTACACTTTGGAAAGTATACCGGTCAGTGTATTCCATCAGCAGGAACCGATTCCGAAGACAATTAATCCAAGCCTTCAGAAATCAACCGGTACAACTTTTAGAGATCGAGGAGTGTCGGCAGGAGGAGTCCAAAAGGACTTGGACTTTAGTGGTTGGAATTGCAGAGATCCTGGAGGAATATTTCCAAGCCAGAACGTGACAAGGAGGGAAATCCCCTTCGCAAGATGATAAGGCGGCTCAGGGACAGTCATCTCGCACCACGTCAGCAACGTGCCCCCACGTGGGCGCACGTGGACCTGTCCCCCAGCTTAGTATATATACCCCTTGTAAACCTCAGAAAGGGGATCCGAATTCATTCTCTCTAAACTCCCTAGTAAAAGCACCCGTGCATACTTCGTTATAATATAAATCGGGCAACAGGTGTTCCACCTAAAGTCCTACCGGTCAATCTGCGTGCTTTTACCTTTCTTACTTTGCCAAATCCAGCAAACTATTCTAGACCCGGTCTAGTATAGTTTGACCGGTCAAGTAATTTACACCATCATTTTTGGCGCCGACCGTGGGACCGTTAAGGTTTCTTCTCCTAAACACAAACCTACCCACCAAAACACCACTCGAAATGTCTTCCAGCCAACAAATCAACGCTACTTCCGCTCAGGTGCAGGCCACCAACGAGGGAACCAGCATCCCTGTGGCTGCTACCATACCGGTCATTTCAGCCCCGGTGTTGCCTTTGGGTCTGAGCTCTGTCCCGACGGCCAGCGTGATCAATCCCTTCGTAACCCCCGTCCCTTCCGCTGGACCGAGGGTAACGTTCCCACCAAGCATGACTCAGTTCATGAATGACCCAGCCAACCTACAAGCCATCCAGGGCTTTGGCCAGGTCATGGCCATGTGCCAGCAGAACGGGGGGATGCCTTTCCTCCCTGGTATGTTCCCATTCGCCCTTACAAGCTCCGATGGCGGTGACGTCGTTCCAGACGCCGATGCCGCAACCATCACCTTTCCAGCCCCAGCTGGTCAGCACCATGGCCCCGGTCAACTTGGCCGGTGCACTTAACGCTGCAGGGCCGTCGCGTCCCCCGCAAGCTACGGATCTGCAGGTCACTCCTGATGGTCATTGCGTCTCGATTGAGAGCGATGACGGCGAGTGGGACATCCCGAGGGCCCACAAGAAGAAGAAAGGAAAAAACATCCGGCCAGCGACCTCCCGAAACTCCGCCTTCGAAAGGTTGGGGGATAGGGAGGAAGGCCAGAGGAAGTCAGCCAAGCAGAGGCTGGGGCAGAGTGTTGCCCATGTCAGCGCATTCGCCCGGCTAGGCGAGGTGCGGGAGGCCGAGCCTGCCCGCACCCGGCGCTCCCGGTCTAACCGGCAGGAGCCAGCGAGGACGAGGGCCTCCCACCAGGAAGGGGAGGCGGAAAGCCAGCCCAGGTTACCGGTGGCGAACCGGTTAACCATCCCAAACGACCGCGTCCAGCAGATGGAGGCAAAGCTGGATAGGCTGGAAAAGAAGGTCAGGGAGAAGAATGACCGGGATAAACCCCTGGCAGGGTCCCCGTTCACCACAAGGGTCCATCTGACACCTTTCCCGCGAAAGGTCAAGATCGACGCCCCCAGATTCACCGGGAAGGAAGATCCGGAAATCCACCTGGACTCCTTCAACCAGAGTGCGACCATGAACGGTTGCACCGATGAAGAAAAGTGCCTACTTTTCTTCCAGACCTTGCGGAACCGAGCCACTGAATGGTTCAATAAGCTTCGCCCGGGAAGCATTGACTCGTTCAGTGATTTGGCCTCAAAATTCAAGGCCAAGTTCCAGGAGAATTGTACTAAGAGGAAGAAGTTCACCTATCTTAGTACAGCCGGGCAGAGGGAGTCTGAGAACCTCACTCAGTTCCTTACCCGGTGGAAGGAAGAGGTAGACAAGGTGGAAGAGATGGATGACAAGACCGTCCTCTCCCTCCTCTTGAATGGCTTGCGTGCTGGGGAACTATACAAGGAGTTCTGCCGGAAACCCCCAGCCACGTACCAAGAGGCCTACCATACTGCATGGGAGTTTGCTGAAGCTGAAACCCAGCTCCGGGCAAAGAGAGAAGCTGANAATGTCATCCCATTCGCTAGGTTCGGGGTTGATATCATTGGAGCATTCCCAGTCGCCCAAGGAGGGAAGAAGTTCGTGATCGTAGCCATCGATTACTTCACCAAATGGATCGAGGCCGAAGCATTGGCCAACATTACCACGCAACAATGCAAGAAATTCATTTGGAAGAACATCATCACGAGATTTGGAGCGCCCATGAACCTCATCACCGACAACGGCCCACAATTCCGAAATCCAAGGTTCACTGAATACTTGGAGGGCTTCGGGATCAAGCACAATCGCTCCTCGGTAGCATACCCCCAAGGGAATGGCCAAGTCGAAAACGCCAACAGAACTATTGTGGATGGTTTGAAGAAGCGGTTGGGAGAAGCAGGAAACAAGTGGCTGAAAGAGCTCCCACACATCGTATGGGCATTCCGGGTAACACCCAGGAGGGCTCATGGGGAAACTCCATTCTCCCTAACCTATGGATGTGAAGCAAGGCTGCCCATCGAAGCTGAATTCCCAACGTTCCGGGAATCAAACTATCAACCCCAGCAGAATGAGGAAGACCACTTGGCCGAACTCAACTTGGTCGAAGAACGGAGAATGGCCGCGGAAGTCAAATGAGCACATACCAACAAGTTGTGAAGAAGTACCATGACAACAAGGTTGGGCCGCGGTACTTCCAAGTTGGGGATGAAGTCCTACGGAGAAGAGAAGCAAGTAGACCCGGCTACGGAGGAAAGCTAGCAAAAAACTGGGAAGGCCCATATAGGGTTAGAGCCATCATTCGCCCGGGGACATACTGGTTAGAAACTCTTGAAGGGGTACCGGTAGAAAGAACCTGGAATTCCCATCATCTTCGCAAGTTCTACAAATGATTGTAATACTAGGCAAGGCCTACTTTATTATCAATCAAACCGATGATGTTCAATACTCTATTTGGTAGCGACAGGATTGATAGGTCGAACCTATCCTAGGAGGGCTTCCTGGGTGGATCGAATCCACTTGGCTAAGCCAACTGAGACACAGGCCCGGACCTGGCACGCTGGTTACTACACCGGTCTTGCTCAGTATAATAGGAAAAATATCAAAACCCGGAAGAGGGGCCCGGAAGAGGGTATGCCTGCAAGAGGGCTGGACCTGGAAGAGGGTTCGAACCGTACTTACACGGGCCCATGAGGTTTGACTGGTGTCGGGGAATCAGCCGGCACCGTCAAATTGATTGGGGACTAAAAAGATGCCCATTAAAAGAAATAGAAGGGGATCGTCCACCGTGGCGCATCCTATATCCCCCTTCTCAGGGAAGACTTGAACGGGGGGTGAGCTAAGGCCTTCCCGGGATGGTAGAAATCAAAGGGCCATTAAAAGACTTAATCACCCGGAAGAGGGGGCCCTGAAAGAAGGGTGCATTTGAACCTTGGAGAGGGTTCGAAACCATTCGACATGGTTAAATCTCCAGTATTCTTACCGGTTAAGGATACTTCAAGAATCACTAGGTTACAGGTGTTTCCATCTAAAACCTACCGATAAAAAAAAAGAAAAAAGAAATACCCCGGTCGGGTATGGGCACAACAGAACTTCGAAAGTTCTACAATCCATCGAAAGGCAAGGCAGTTGACCGGTCAAACCATGGAGTGGGAATTCACCGGTCAAAGTATACTCTACCAAAAGAATTTGTGAAGCTGTCCAAAAAGCAAAAATTGAGCGTTTAACCGGTCAAAGTTACACGGGCTGATCCTTGAAGTGAAGTAACCAGAGAGAACTTTGAAGTTATACCGGTCACACGCAATAGTGGTTGATTACTCTACCGGTCGAATATTCTATGATGGCGTTCTAAGAATGCCAAGAAAAAAGTATAAATCAACAAGCAAGCAGATATGAAAGATTAACCGGTGGGGAAATCAAGCATTGCATTAAAGTAGAACAAAATAGTTAAGTGTTTTACAACTACACCGGGCATTCCCGGGGAAATGAGTTTGAAGTTTTGCAAAATAATTCAACCGGTCGCAGCCGGGAAGATTACTCAAGAGGAAAGGGAGGCGCAGGCTCTTCGTCCGGGATGGGGGCCAGACCGTATGATTCGGCATTGAAGTCTGGATCCCGGTCGGCAAGGATCGCATGGGTGGCCTCCCGGTCTCGTTTTTGGCCGGACATGAAACCGTAGGAGCCGATCTGGGTAATCATCTCTTTCCCTTGCTCCTCCCGGTACAGCAACTTGAAGCCCTCCATTGTCCTTTCCTCAGAGGAAGTAAGCACCCGGGCGGCCTCCACCAGGTTCTCCTCCATCCACTGTCTGGCCCGACCGGGTAGCTCTTGCTCCTTCACCCATGCCTCCTCCTTCAGGTGGGAGACCTCCCCCATCAGCAGCGAGTTCTCCTCCTTCAGCTGGAGGACCTCCGCGTTCGCCCTACCGGCAATCGCCGAGAGGTTGGCCATCTCGTCAAGTTGCCGGGCGGTCAGGTCTTGAAGCTCCCGGTTGTGGGCTTCAAGCCTCTTCAGCTTTTCCTCCAGCTGAAGTGACCGGGAAGGGGAGTCCTCGCCCCATCTTGACCCAGAGCTCCTCTAGCGACTCTGTGGCCGGGACACTTTCTCCCCTCCTCCTCTTTGCCGAGGGGTGGGTAGTGGCGGCGTGCTTGGTTCGGACCTTCCCCTTCCCTTTGTCTAGGGGAGGGTTTACTGTGGTCCTCCCGGCCTGACCGGTCGGAGGAGTTTCCTCCTCAGAGTTGATCTCCACCGGCTCCTGTTGCACCGGTACGGTTCTTGGGGCAGCAGAGGAGGAGCCACCGGTCTTCTTCATGGGGATATTGAATGCTCTGAAGTTCATCTCTGCAAAACAGACAAAATATTAATCAAGCATGGACCGGTATATAGAAAGAAAGAAGGAGGAAGAGGAAGGTAGGGTACCTGGGTGACCGGAACCCCCAGCTTCCGCAGTGTTGCCCGGGGCGGGTACCCCGTGCCCCGCTGCCTCATCAGCCCTGGGGGTACCCGTGCCACCCGGTGAGATTCTCCAAATCCAAGCCCCGTAATGGAACATTTGCCCGGTGAACGGGTCCCCTTGTAGAAGTTTCTCCAAACTCTCTTCCAAGTCTGGAGCGTTAGCCGGCTCAGTATATTGTGGCTTCAGGAGGTGGTCGTTCCACTTTATGCCGGCCAAAGGAGAAGCGGTGGGGAATTTTATAAAAACAAATTTTTCCTTCCACAGTCGGTTGCTTTGTGGAAGGTCCGAGATGAATTGGCGACCGTTACGGCCCTTGAAGTAGACGTAGCCGTCGCAACCCGACTTACCGGGAAGGACTTCAAACAAATAAAGGAAAAAGCGAAGGGATGGATCGATTTTGAGATGGGAGCAGATATTTACAAAAGCGTTAAGAAAACGGTGGGCATTGGGCGTAAGTTGCCCGGGGAGGATCTTGAAGCAATGGCACAACTCGACCAGAAGGGGGCGAAGGGGGAAGACGGTGCCACTCTCCAGGGAGATGATATGGAACCCTACCCTATCGTCCCGGTGAGGCTCGATGATATTGCGCCAGTTAGGGTCGTATTCAAGGACATACCCCTCCGGGAGATTCCTACGGGCTTTGTTTTGGGCAATCTTAGAGACCCGGGGGTAGATGTCAAGCGGGTAGCTGGAAGGGAGAGGAAAATAACCGGCGGCATCCAGCCGGTTCACCCATCCCTC